TTCACAACTCAGGACTACAGAAATACAGCGCTATCGCTATTCTACACACTTTACAATTCACTGGTACACACGCACTTGGGTTCTCAGTCTTCACTAGTCGTGTTCTGGTAACGGATTTATAACAGTCTCACTGTAACTGCAAATCATATATGAAGCCTTCTTTTCATAGTATGATTCATTTCTGGACACTTCTTCTCAGTCACCTTCGACTGTCGTCTCCAAAACTGTACGCAATTGGCGATACAACTGCTCACTCGACTACTGAACTCTCTCAAATTCTGACAACAATTAACTTTATGTTTCTGAGCATTTCTTTATAACCACTTAGCATGGACCACGCAGAAAACACAGCCTCTATTGTTACGTGTTTCAGCTCCGTTGCCTAGCAATGAACGACCTATTGTTGCGCGCGCTTGCTTCCGTGGGAACGTATTTGCCGAATCGTTGTCTATCAATGGGTGTAAACGTCACAATACTATTCCTTTTCTGGCTTCCCTTCTACATAATGGTGTAGCGTACTCCTCGTTTACCATAATCCATCTATATGGACAGTCCATCATTACAGTTTTCCATTCTAGCATTCGTTACAGCTCATAGAATTATTGGTTATGAAATAACCGTTATGTAATATCCAAAACAGCTCACTTATTTCATGTTTCTTGGGTTCAAATATTTTCCTGAGTACTTGGATTTCAAGCATTTGTAATTTATGTTCGATACCTTCCTCTCTATAATGCTTCTGAACCCACGACAATGGTTTCTTTAACTGAATCATAACATAAACATCAAGAAGTTATTTCTTTCTAATACCATCAAAAACCTCATTCAGTTTGTGGGAGGAGCTGCTTGCTGCAACATTAGAACTGTAGAAGACGGTTCCGTTCGGCGTGCTGCTGTTGTCAAGTTGCTTTCTGCTGTTAATGTTTTGAACACCATTAAGACTTGATAGTCCCTCTTTAGTTTACGACTAATCTCTTTCGTAAACAGTTCCACAGCGGTTAACAACACAACATGGCACGCTGTTCTCCCATCTAAGCTAACAATCAACATGCAGATATCTACTTTAAATAATACTTCACACATCATTATCGGTTCATTACAGAATGATTTAAATACATTTTTATTGTTATTATTCTCACGAATGTTGGGCCGTGACCAATAATAACAGGTTATAGATTGGATGATTGGATTTATTAACGACTTACTTTACAATCACTCTTGATCACAAACAATTTGCAATAACTTACATACGTCTTCTAAGTCTTCTTGCATTAGTCGTTGCTTGACTACAGGTCCCAACAATGGCTATTCCTCTCCAAAGCTTTCACTATCTGTTTCCTAGCAACGGACTTTAACACAGGAACTATAATTGTATGGGCCGCGCCATAGCTCAAGCGGTTAGTCGCTGGCTTCCTGTCGCGGCGGCCCGGGTTCGATCCCGGGACTGGTCAAGTGGGATTTGTGGTGGACAAAGTGGCGCTGGAGCGAGTTTTCTCCGAGTACTTCGGTTTTCCCTGCCAATTTTCATTCCGCCAAATTCTTCATCATCATAAACACCCCGGGTAGGAAGCCAATCAGTGGCCGCCGTGCCGAGTGGACCCAGCTGGACTCCACCCCCCCTCCCCACTAAGCGAAAGAACCATAATTCTAACACTACGCATATCACTGTGCTACAGCAGACATACTGTCTTCAAATCACATGTTAAATCTTCACAGTTCGACTTGTCATTCTTCTCCAACTATTAACTTCACGTGGCTATCTCCTATTGACAACTACATACTGTCTCCCTTATAAAGTAGCAGCACAGAAAAACAGCCCCGATATTGCTCTAGAGGCATGTTACCGCCCAATTGCATAGCAGTCTCGGCACGAACCACATAGAAAACACGGCTTCCTCTATTGTTGCGAAGGCATATTTACCGCGCCGTTGCCTAGCAATATAAATCCTACTGTTGTGTGCACGTGTGTTGCGGGAGTGTATTTAGCGACCCATTGTCTAGCAATGGATATACAAGTTACATTATTATGGCTCTAAAACCCTTTGTTGGGCCCTGGCCGCTTTTACAGATTCTTGAACATATACACTCCTTGAGGGGGGGATCAGCCCGTCGCAAGGCTAATACATACACATAGAGTAACACAAACATAGAATAAACGCACACAGATATCCATGCTTCGAGCGGGATTTGAGCCCATGAGAATACCCTTATTTTTATGTGTTTATCGATCCGTTGCTTAGAAACTGGTTCTTCGTGTTGCGTTCGTGTTCAATTCCGCGGGGAACTGTTTACCGACCCGTTGCTTAGGAATGAACTATTCCGGCTTTCAGGCGTCGTGTATTATTATGACACCTCACTGAGTTCAAATATTTGCTCTGAATTTCAGAACTATCATGACAGCCAGGGTAGTTCAGTGAGTATAGCAACCGACTGTGGGCCGGAACACTGAGGTTCGATTCCCGGCAGGGAGCTCTTCCTATTCTCCACAGCGTCCAGATCGACTCTGGGGGGCAACCGGCCTTCCGTCTAATGAATATCTGGAGCTCTTTCCCCGGAGGTAAAGTGGTAGGGTCTTGAAGTTGAGCACTCGCTTCCACCTTATGCAGAGGTCAAGAATGGTGGAAATATACCTCCATTACCCTATTCATTTTCAAGGCGTAATGCTTAATTAATTAAGCACAGGCAAAACTTTTCTCCTTCACCTTCAGAGCTATAAAACTCACTTCAGCATTAGGCTGAAACTTTTTTCCCCCAGTTGGCAGACTGATTTCGACAGAAAATCGTCTTAAAGTCAATTCAATGGAAGACCCGAAAAGATCTTGCGTCGTCTTACGCACTCCTTTTCTTCCGTAGGAAACGCTTAATTTCATGACATCACCAGGCAGAGAGAGAGAGAGAGTGTGTGTGTGTCTGTGTGTGTGCGCTTGTGTGATGCATGTTCTTTAAAGTTTTAAAAATATTTTTATGAAACTTATGCCACTAGAGGTCTCTCCAACATCGTAATATTTAATTTCCTATAATCAGTACTAACAATATGGCGGACACACTAGCTGTGGAATGGGAGCTATATTACATGCAATACCTGTTCCTATGGTTACTGAATTTCGGAAGGATTGTTATTATTATTACTGTTGTTATATATTAGTTTTGTAGCCGAGCGGTCTAAGGCATGTACTGTCTTCGCTCGCTTTGAAACCTGGATCGTGGGTTCGAATCCCACTCAGGGCATGAATGTTTAGTTTGTGTGTGTGCGTTTTTCTGTGTTTATGTACAGGTAGAGGCCTTGTGACGAGCTGATCACCCGCCCAAGGAGTCGTACTGAATGTGTAAGATCTAGAAAAACCGAAGTGAACGGAGAAGTTCATGGAGGTAGGCCTAGGCCCACTGGGGCTGTAGTGCCAAGGGGAAAAAATTTTTTTTTTTGTTTTATATATTATGTACTATTATGTTATTTATATTGTCACGCGATCGGGGTTCCGTAACGAATAATAACCGGTTCTGGATTGGATGATTGGATTTATTGGCACTTCTTTTACAGTCTCTCCTGTTCACAATCAATTATAGCGCTATCGCTAATCTGCTAACTTCACAAATCACTAGACATACTCTCCGTTTCCTGGCAATGGATTTATCACAGGAACTCTCATTTCAACTCACTATGAAGTCTTGTTCCCATTTCTTGTTCAATCACCTTGGACTGTCGAACCTTCAGAATTCGATCCAATTCCTCAATGCTAATTCTCTTATCTAATATCCCTAGTTCGAGTCTAGTCAAGTCTTACGTAACGACCGACAATCAGTCGGCCAGTCTTCCTTGGAAGAACGCACCCGTCTGGGGCTTACGACCAGATTTTTTTACTGTCAGACAGTTGTGGGTTTGTTGCTGTGGGGCGTTCTGACGAGAGGACTGGTATGCTGCTTACAATTGCTGCTGGTCCTCGCCAGCGCAGTCATTCTGAGGCCCGAGTCCCGTCAAACTCGTGACAATATTTTACTGTCTCAGATTTGAGACTTCCCTCTTCGTCGCCTTCTACGACACGCGGGGCTATGGTGAAGGTATTCGACCAAGTCTCCAAACGGGATTAAGTCACTACTGATCTGATTAGTGCCTTACGTAGGGTTAGTTTAATATTTGCATGTTTCAAACAATTCCTCTATTGTTGCATATCGATTCTTTGCTGTGAGAATGTTTGCGAAGGCGTTACTTAGTAACGGCTACGTACATGTGCTCATTAAGAATGTGTTTCCTAGCAGCGGTCATTGTTTCGTTATTTGTTTCGCGGTGGTTGCGTAGCAGCGGATGTCTATATGCTATAGTATTATAATTATCTTTCCTCTCTTTGACTAATTTTTCTTTAGTAAGGAGAAATAAACTCCAAATTTTTCATTGGGTACGAACAAAGAGAGAGTTTCATTAATAAGTTTTCCTATGAGAATAAAGGAAAGAAAGTATGAATTCCAACAGAAGGAAAATGGGTGAAAAATAATTGAAGCAGAAAACAGAGACTTGTTGAAAGGGGAGGAAAGGAAGTGGCAGTAGGACAACCGGAAAGGAAGAAATAATTCAAATCAACGGACACGGGGAAATAAATTGAGGTTAATGGTAGTCGTATCTTGGCATATACCGTGTTATATACACCCATTGCCTGGTAATATCTATGTAAATAGGCTATAGTAACCAACCATTGCTAGGAAACGGTCCTGGATACAAGTTGTTTCCCCGACAACGAGAAACCGAGTATTTATTCTGTCAACGTCAAAGTTATTTTACGACAGTCGGGTTATATAACAAGGACCAGGTCGTTCTGAAAACGTCTGGTAGGCATCTTGAAATAGTTCGTGGCCAAGCTGGATTCTCTGGCATCCCGGATAGAGTAGAATCAAGAAAGAGTTGAAAGCCCTGACCTCCGGCGGAAAGAAAAAGGAAAAAGGAAGGCAAGGTCATGAAATTGACACATATTATATGGTCAAGACGTGGTTTTCTATCAAATTCAAGTAAAATGCACCGCTCTCACCCATATGACGATACTGTGCATAAGAAGGGTGACCCTGATCTGAATAAGCAACACGAAACTTCACACCATGATCCAACAACAAAACATCTTGAAAATCCAGTAGATTCTGAGGACAGCGCAACCCATGATGGAAATGTCAGTAGTGAATTAGGAAACATAGTTTATGGGATTACTGGATTGGAAAACCTCGGCAACTCCTGTTACATGAGCTCCATCATCCAGTGCATAAACAACACTATTCCATTATCAATGTACTTCTGTAACGAAGTCCACCTTGAGCATGTGAACCACGACAATGCGAGTACAAGGGGTGTAGTTGCTGAGGAATTTGGAGCCGTGGTGAGAACGTTGTGGTCGGGTCAGTATCGGTCCATCTCATATCCAGGTCTGAAGAAGGTGGTGGCTCAACACATGAAGCAGTTCCAAGGTTGCATACAACAAGATTCACATGAATTTCATATCATTCTAATGGATTTGCTTCATGAAGATCTTAAAAGGAATATTAGAAAGTTTTCAGAAAGAGAAACGGGCGATGAAAACTTGTCAGCAGATCAAGCTTGGGGGAATTTCCAGATGTACAATGAGTCAATAATTAAATTTTTATTTTATGGCCAGCAGAAATCAACAGTCCGTTGCTGCAAGTGCGGTAAGGAATCAGTGACATACGAAGTGTTCTCAGATCTCTCATTACCTCTTCCAAACTCCAGCGAAGAGTGTTCACTTGCTGAGTGTATTAATCTGTACCTTAGGGGTGAGGAGATTTCTGGGTGGAACTGTTCATCCTGTAAGGAAGAGGGTCATGCCATCAAGAAGTTTGACATTTGGAGACTACCACCAATCTTGGTTATACACTTAAAGAGGTTTTATTATGAAGACAGGTGGCGCAAGCGGCTTACATATGTGGATTTTCCACTTGATTTGGATATGCATCAATCTACAGAGTTAGAAGAGGGGTTCGTCAACTATAAATTATATGCCGTATCGAATCATTATGGCTCCATGGAAGGCGGACATTACACTGCATTTTGTAAAAATGAACTTTACGAGAAATGGTATGAATTTGATGACGACAATGTAAGTGAAATCTCTAGTGACGATGTTAGTTCTAAGTCCGCATACATCCTCTTTTACACATCTGTGGAATGCAAGATATGAAAGATAACCAGCTAAAGAGTTGTTTGTAGATGACTATAGTTTCAAAACATCTACCGAATTCATCCATTATATTACCTGCCAAACAACTGAAGACATTGCTCTAACCCAGTTTTGCCCAGTAGTTATATTTACAAACATTACTCTAGCACTGGCCTGAGAGATAGAAAGGCACATATTGCCTCGAATATCTACCATTAAGCTGGAGGCAATATGTTCATCCGAAACGTTTGTATCTACATACAACACTACACTTACAGTTAAATCGGAATGCCGTGTGTATTTACTTCTTGTTTGTTTGACGATATTTGTATATGTTCACAATGTATACAGTAGAATAATAAAAGGAGAGTGTATAATGAATTGAAAAGGAAGTAGAAGGAAGTTGATGTGAGTTAATTTGTGGTAGTGTTCCGGTATTTATCCTGTGATATGAGGGCAATCCCCAAAATGTTCTGCATTCTCGCCAAGTTTTTAAACCGAAAGGTCCCGACTATGAAGCAGTTCTATCTACTCAATCATGCCGTTGTGTTATGTAAGCCTGTTTCAAACATATATTATTATGTAAAAAAAAAAAACAAGTGCAACTTACGAGTCTTATAAATGTACTTTCTAATTATTTTTAAATAAAGGTTGTACAGTGCCTTTTTTTTCATTAACACTGCTTATACCGTACTTCTTTTGGCTTATTTTGGACTTCACCCATCGTCTGGTAGGTATAAGACATGTATGTCTGTTTTTCTACAGACCGGGGTTTGTCCAGTGATTGAGACTAGCTCCTTCTAAGGGGCCCAACTGAGTAGGTTTATCCTTCCCTATCCACCTGAAGACGGAGACAGATCCAGTCTCCGAAACGTCGTGGTTTTTTGTCTTTTTGTCTTTTACATACCAAACGATGGGTGAAGTCCAAAATAAGCCAAAAGAAGTACAGTATACACCATCGTCAGAATCCTTTCAAGTCTAACTGCTTATACCGTTAAATTTTTTTCTTATTTGTGTTATGAAATATTTTTGTCTTTTCGGGTTAACTTTTGCTTCACTAATTCGGATTATTGTACGATCCGGACGAACCCCCCCCCCCANTTACTCCGAATTAGTGAAGGTTTACTGCATTTCAGACAACAGAAAATGTTCAATATAAAGAGTTCTGTCTTCTGGGATATAAGGTTGTGTTTTCAGTTGAAAGTTAAGGCATTATAACCCAGATGTACATTTCATAACCACAGCTGTGAGACACTCATACCATACACAGTGTTTAACGTAATTCAGCATAATCAGGCAGACGTTCTACATTGATACTGTGTGTTGCATTACCCTTGTAGCTGTAGGATAAATATTGTCAGTAATGAGATTCGAAGCAAAACAGTGCATGAGTATGTTAACGAACTAGAGTATACAATCGTGTCGTACAAAGAGAACAAACACTCAACACCCAAAAGCTATCAGAAGGAAAATTAATCATAATTATATACTAAAAGCTTGTTAGATACTAAAGCATTTATAAAGACGATTATAGGCCACTAAGTCCACGCCTGAAGCATAGCGACATTAATCTGGTCATAATGTTTTGTGCTTAAATGGGTTACGCATGTGGAGTTTGTACGAAAACGAAGTATGCCGTGTTATCCAGTGAGTATTCTAGGGAACGTGGCTGTGAAACGGCCCAATTTGACTGAACAAATGTCTAATTCTTCTGTCTGAGTGCATTCTCTCCTATTGAATATATATAGTATTGTAACATGCCGCATGAAAGCCTGAATAGCTAAGTCAGAATAGATGTTCATTTCTAGGCAACGACTCTGTAAACATATACCCGCTGTGACGAATAAGCAACCAACAATCAAATAACTTCTGTTGCTATGCAACGGCGTTCTAAATGTACATTCTCAACAGTAGAACTGTTGAAAGCTGTATTTCCTGTGCTGTCCGTGCCTAGGCTATATATAACGAGGATCATCCCTCCCACTAACCGTCAGTGGTAACGTGACTCTGACTCTGACTGACACTAACTAAATAACTAATTCCATGGAGCCGAGTCCTTCTTGAAAAGTCACAACTTTCTCATAACTTGGCCGCGCCATAGATCAGGTGGTTAGTCGTCGGCTTCCAACCGCGGCGGCCCGGGTTAGAGCCTAGGTCAAGTCATGTGGGATTTGTGGTGACCAGAGTGATACTGGGGTATGTTTCCTCCAAGTACTTCGGTTTCCTCTGTCAATTATCATTCTACCGACTGCTCCACAGTCATCATCAACTAACATCTGGGGCTGGTACAATAGGCCAGTAGTGGCCGCAGTGCCAAATGGACTCAGTCTCACCCCACCCCAAGAAACTAAAAAAAAAAGAAAATATTCAAGAACTTCCCAACATTTTATGGAACCCGAAGGTTCATTACCATGTTCACAAGACCCTTACACTAGTCCCTACCCTTAGCCAGATCAATCCAGTCCATACCACCTCATTCTCTTACTCTAAGATCCATTTCAATATTATCCTCCAACTTAGTCTACATCTTCCTATTGATTTCTCTTCTTCTGGCTTTCCGACGAAAACGTATATGCATTAGTCTTCTATCTCGTTCGTGATACATGCTTTTCCCATCTCATCCACCTTGATTTTATCATTCTAACTATATTAATTTCTTATATAATTTATTTTATATTATTTTTCATATTTATAGTTATGTTTATCATTTTTAAATTATTTACATTTCTTCTTATACAATTATATTTTTCTTTATGAAGCTCCACATTATGCAGTTTTTTTCCAACTTCATATTATTTCATACCTCTTAGGCACAAATATTCTCCTCAGCACCCTGTTCCCAAACACACTCAGCCCGTGATCTTCCCTTAAGGTCAGAGATCACGTATCACACCCATACAAAATTATAGGTAAAATTATAATTTTGCATATTTTAATTTTTATGCTCTTGCAGAAGACGAGAAACACAAGGTTCTGAAATGAATGGTAACAAGAATTATCCGAATTTTAATCTGCTCTTAATTTCCACAGTAATCAAATTTTGGTTTGTTACTTTCCCTGCAGTCATCTAAATCACATCTCTCGTTCTGCACCCAGAAATGGAAGATTCACTTCGAAGAACCCAAAGTCAATCAATCAATCAATCAATCAATCAATCAATAGGAACTACATTTTGGACAGGAATTTACGAAAGGAGGAAAGCAAACCATTAAAGAAGAAATCCTAAAATGTTTTCAAAGTAAGCAGGTGGCCGTAAGTGGCTGCAAGGGAGGAAACGGGGGCGAGAAGCTTTGTTTTCAATACAGACATGCATTTTCTTCGCGGTAAGATAGAACTTGGTTTCAGAAAGCACATCGTATAGAGAAATTAAAAAAGAAAAAACTTAAAATGTAAGACACGTAAATAATCAGTTAACAAATGAGCAAGCCGAACTTCCAGGAAATGTTCCAACAGAGACAAGAGCTAATTCAAAGTTTTTCACAATAGGAATCCATTATTGAGTAATTAGAAAGTAGTTTGTATTCGCTAAAGTTTTCCAAATCAGCTTCAAGCGGAAACAAAATACAAGAAAACTAAACTTTGTTCCGCGGTTAGTTAATAATAACACTTAATTACATTATTCAAATTCTTAGAATCTCGAGGTTGGAAATTCTGACTTCGGCGTAAGTAGTTTGCAAACGTTACGGCTACCCTTGACGATGGCAATTCAAATGTGTGCCGAAAAGCTGAGATAGCTTCAATATTCTACGTCATTTATTCCCAAAGGCCGAGGTCTTGAATTACCTATTCCAATTAGCATTGTGACATATAGACCCACTGTTAGACAGCGGCTCGATAAACACCTTACCGAAGAGAGAGATTCTTGGTAGAAAGCCCGTTACTAGGTAAACACGTCCCAACGAATAAGCAACAGTAGAGGACATTCATTGCTAGGTAGTGGCGTGTTTTCTGTGAGGTCAGACCGGATGCTATATAACGAGAAGTCAACAGTTCTCAGCCTTCATACTCGTGTAGAGGCGGGGTCCAATACCTCCACCGTGAACCTGCGTGTCGTAGGAGGCGACCAAAAGGGAATTCTCAAATCTGAGAAAGTAAAATACGGTCGCGAGTCCCAAGAGACTCGGACCCAAGAAAGACTGCACTGGCAAACGCCAGCGGCATGTACAAAAGACAGACCCGTCCTCTCGTCAGTGAGCGCGCCCCACAAAGAAAAGACCGTACTGTCAAACAGCAATAAATATCTGGTCATGAGCCTCAGATTCGGCTCGACACCGAGACTTACTGACTGACCCACCGTCAGTAGCAACCTGACTTTCGCTTTGACTCAGTCTTCACTAGTCGTATCCTGGCAACGGATTTATAACGGTCTCACTGTCGATGCAGCAGACATAAGAGTATAATCTTCTTTTCACAACCTAATTCCTTTCTTGCCGTCATCTTCGACTGCCATCTCAAGAGACTCCCTCAGTTACATGGCAACAACTAACTCCTTGCTTCAAACTGTTCTGCTTATATCATCTCTGCACGAACCTTATAGAAAACACCGTTTCCTAATAATTTATCTGTTATCACAGAGGTATGTTTACCTCTCCGTTGCACAGAAGCAGTTGCTCGTCTGTTGTTGTATGCATGTTCATTTTCGAGGGAATCTGTTTACCCCCTTGCCTAGCAATGAACTATTCTGACTTTCAGGCGTCATGTCACAATATGATGGATATAAACTTCCTTATTTCGAGTGAAACCAAATTCCAGTTAAAAGGTTAAGCTTCGACTAAGATGAGATAAACCGATTACTTATATACAGATAATAATAGTAGCATAAAGTCTTGGCTTCAAGTCGTGTTTCGGACAGTATTACCGCAGTATAGCTTTAGCTTTGAGAAATCATTTAAATTTTATCAGAAAACTTTATTTTGTGTCTTCCTCGGAATGATTCCAGTGCAATTGACTGGAAGAGAGCGAGGACGGTGCCAGCTTATGTCCACTCAACAATCAGAACAAAAGAACAGAGATGACAGACTCGCTGACGTAAGCCCGTGAATAAAAAGAAAACTCTAAAAAGTTAGACTCGTATAAATTTAGAACAGAATGTTGTGACAGCACAGTTCATACAGAATTCATCGTAACTGTTTCTCACGCCTATATTACGAGCTTATACAATCTGCTAAACATACCATTGAATATCATGACATATTTTGTTAGAGAAATGCGTTACAGAAATGAAATAAACCTAGTTTCAAAGCAGTTTAAAAACTCTTAGGT